GTGGGGGAGGGGAGGGGAGGGGAGAAGGAAAGAAAGCAAGCCGGGGTAAGGGGGTAAGGGAGTGAGACGAGACTGTTTTAAATGGCATATTTTGAAAATATTTTTGTTGAACCTCAACGTGTGGTTCCAGAGCAAATAGCCTAACCCGAAAACGTCTAAGAAATGTAAGTTCTCAGGCCCCTACCACAACCCTAAGGAAATCAGAAAATCCTGGGTGTGGGGTGAGTTCTGGGGGCTGTCGTGGGTAGGGGGTTGGTTAACAAGCCCTCCAGGTGCTCTTGATGCGTGTTAAGATGAAAACCAGCACCCTAGAGCAGTTCCCACCTCCCAGGCCAGGAACAGATGACAGGTGTGCATTCCAATACCCATTTTTTCATCCCATATGGGCAGCTGGAGGGTTGGGGAGAAGGGAGATGCCGAGAGGCCCCCAGTCCAATGTAGCCTGCACTATGCTCTTACTAGCATGTGAAGTGGGTGCCGTGGAGTCTCATTATTTTGAAATACTTGTTACGAAAAGGTCGGACTCAAGTTTAAGCCATTGACATCATCACAAGATATAAAAGTTGTATGTTTAGCCAAAGATACTCTATTCCTTAAGGTCTATCCGTGTAAATTTTTAAAAATTTTTAAAATTTTATATATTTTTTACATTTTTCATTTTTGCCTATGTTTATAGCAACACGATTTACAATAGCTAAGCTATGGAAAAAACCCAAATGCCCAAAAATAGATGACTGGATCAAGAAGATGTGGTACATATACACCATGGAATATTACTCAGCATTCAAAAAAGATAAACACATGCAATTTGCAGCAACATGGATGTTGCTGGAAGGGATCATGCTCAGCAAAATAAGCCAGAAAGAAAAAGAAAAATACTGGATGGTCTCACTCATAGCAGGAATCTAGAAAACCTAAATAAGAGACCAGGAAAAAGATTAATTATAATAAAGTAAAAATCAAAATCAACAAGCAACTATAAACTAGAGACACACTGGGGCGGGGAGAGGGATTAGGGTCAAAATAAGGGGGGTGGGAATTGTATGGGGAATATAACCAAGATGAAAATGAATACATTGTGCGACCTGCTAAAGATGGAGCTTCCATATGATCCAGCAATTCCACTCCTAGGTGTTTACCCAGAGGACACAGAAACATTAATTCAAAAGGGTACCTGCACCCCATCCATGTAAATTTTTAAGTGATTGTAAAAGTGATTTAAATAACTTTAACCACTTCACAATGAATGTATGTATCAAATTATAACATGTACACCTTAAATTGTATAATTTTCATTTGTTGATTACACCTTCATACACCTGAAAAATAAACTTTTTAAGTTGTGTGAATATATTCCTCATTGTTGGTAACAAAAACCTAAAGTTTATAATTAAGTCTTTTTTTCAAAGATTTATTTATGCATACAAGAACTGGGGTACAGACCAGAGGTGCGGGAAGGTGAGAGGATTCACCAGAGACAGAGTGGGGAGCAGAACAGGCAGAGTGACTCAAAACACTGCTGAGGGGAGCAGCGGGCAAGACAGGAAAGGTCTGCTACGCCATATAGGTAGCTCCCTGACTGGCCGGGGGATCAAATTTGTGCTGCAGAGGCTGTGGACAGCTTCATAGTGCTGTGCTCAACCCCTTGCGCCACCAGGGAGGCCCTATAATTAAGTCTTGATTAGGAAGTTCATGTAGCCATTTCAAACATAAAATTCATATTTGTGGAAGCAAGATCAAGAGTCTAAATGTTGAAATTATTTGTATAAAAATTTACTTATACTGGTTTCTTTTAATTTACCAGTTTCTTTTCAGATGGTATAAATCTTCCACCCATTATAAACTTAAATTATTAATACTGAATCCCTAATACTTTTTTATTTTATTACCATGATTATATATCAAAAATAGAAAGCTTTTCACCAAGCCCAATATAGACAACCTCAAATCCCCTCAAGTTTGGCTGGTATCCCATTCAGATAGTATCATTTTCTATTTGCCATAATAGGAAAAGATTGGAAGCCTACTCTAGGATATCTAGCTCTCTGGCTCTCTATCTTCCAGCCCTCTCCATAGCACATCACTGAAATGGGTAAAGGACAAAAAATAGACCCCTCAGGATCACACAAGCCACCAGAAATAGGAATGTATTTGTAGTGATACTAAACTGAAGTGCAACGGAGCCCAAAATGCCCCAATCACCTTCCATGTGCTGTCTTTTCATCCAGTGGTTTCTGTCATACCTCCCAATCAAAGGATGCCTCTTTATTTGGAGAGGAAGAATACCTTAAAATCAAGGAATAGTCCTATCCCTGAGGGATCTAGTGGACAGTAGGATGGAGCTTGGGGTAAAGGAAATTGTGGACAAGTTGACTTATTGTAACGTGAAAACCAGGCATGGCACCTAAAAATGAGCTGAGGATATGGCCACCTGAGCAACTCTTTTAAGTCTTAAAGCAAAGAGTCAAGAGAGTCCGTAGGCCTACAAAGCATCTAAGCATACTGGCCAGGGTTAAGAACCACTTAGGGGTTAAGGTCCTAACTCCCAGTCAGCAATAAAGCATATTGATTGGAAAATCTGTTCTTTTGAAGACCCAGCAGAGGAGGCTGCTGCTGCAGTCAGCAGCTGGTGATAGAGAAGAACTTGGTCACAGAAGTACCACCTGTCCTAAACTTGTTAAAAACAAACTCAAAAGTCAACAATTTTAATTAGTCCTCCCCTTCTAGATAACCCCATTCCCACAGATGTCAGTCTCTTCAGTTCAAATAAGGAGTAAAAAATTAAGAGTTTTTAAATGTGTGCATACAATACTTTCAACAAAGGAGTGACCAACACTTTCAATTAAGAAGGAATCTAAAAGAAAACAGCGACACCGTCATAAGGGGAGACAAGGCAACCAGCTAGCATCTCAGGCTGCTGCCTCAGCACTCCCGGACTCCAGCCCCACACAGGCTGCACTGACCTTTCCACTGTGGAATGTCATACACTTTCTCAAATATTGTCATCTTCATTCATAATCCCAACAAGCAGGTGCTTGCATTACCGTCACATGTGGAGCAAGAAAAGAAAGTCACAGTTACATAACTTGTCTGTGGTCCCACAGTGAAGGAGGCTCCAATACCAAGGCGAGTCTCTTCTCATCAGTCTTTCTCCTACATGATATCCCTCTATCTCATTGGGAGACAGAGAACAGTTTTGAGAGTATCATTTGGCAGAAATCCTGTTGATCCTTTGAATAAAAAGTAAAAGGGAATTTTGGTTTAAAAGTCTATGGTTAGGACTTTGGTCAAATTAATTAGTAACAGAATCAAAAACTGAGAGAAAAAAATAAGAGTGAAAATGTGATGCTTTTCTAAACAGGGAAATCCTTATAGGGTGATAGAAAACCTACTATGTTTAATAGCAAACATTAATGAGTGAATAGTAAATAATGATCCCTTTCCCTCCATAAACTAAAATGCAGCTTCAGGATTTTTCTCAATGAAGTACTTTATTCAAAAATTATTAATCGAGGATGGCTTTAGAGAAGGAAACATTTGACATCTCTTTTGTAATCTATGCAATAAACAGGTTTAGGGAGTTTAAAAAAAGTTTATTTAAATTACTTTAATACCAATCTTTTAATTTATTCCCAATGCTCTAATTTGGAATATAGGAAAGAAAGTAATGGAATAGTTTGTCCAGACCCATGTGAGTTATTCAAACCCTCATTCTTTAATAAGGTTTTTGAGAGGGAAAAAAGCAATCATGGTGTGAACTCAAATAATGAAAAATAAAAAGTGAGTATTATATTTGAGTTAAATCATAAATCTTGAGTTGGAAGGATTACCCAGACCAATCTCTCATTCAGAGAAATAAATCTATTCCATGTTACAAGCTCCCCGTAAGAGAATGGGGGACAGCCCACCCCCAGTTTGCTGTAGGAGTGAGTCAGACAAGTAAACCTTTAAAAAACAAAACTACTTCGGGGCAGAAAACTTAAATAAGGGACCAGGAAAAAGAATAACTATAAGAAAGAAAATATCAAAATCAACAAATAACTATGAACAAGAGACACTCTATGAGGGGGTGGGGGGTGGGGAAAGGAGGGCTTGGGGTCAAAATAAGGGGGTTGTAATTGTATGGGGAATATAAAAATAAAATTAAAAAAAAACAAAAAAACTAAACTACTTCCATCAAAGAAGTATGGGAACAGATCCTAGTCAAAGACAAAATTATCCTTTTTTTCTAAAATGAAGTTTAACCAGATTCTTTCCCATCTGCGGTTCTTCCAGAAGCATTACATCAAGTATTAAACACTAGTAAAAATACTAAGTTAATAAAAGTAAAAGGGGGGGGGTTGTCTAAAAGAGTTTTCCTTCTTCCCCTCTTTTAAAATGTAAATTCTCGCATGGGTAGTCCTGCAACAGCTTTAACATGATAAAGGATTGGCAGAAAGAGTAGGACCAGGATATGAAATAAATTGGGGGGGGGAGGGAAAGAGCCGCTTGGGGAGACTCCAAGTGGGTAAAGGGGAGGGGCCTTGGAGAGAAGTTTCTAAGTTTACCTTGTGGTCATCCTAATTCAATGACCTTTGGGGGCCCGCTTAAACTCTAGCATCACACGAGGACCACACCTATTTCCTAAGATTTTTACAACTTGTAAAGCAAAACACCTTATCCCCCCTTCGGCGATTTGCCTCCGGGCCTGTGCTACCTGAGGCCGCAGAAGCTTCTTTCCAGCCCAGTTCTTCGTGCATAGAAACACGCGTTTAAGCCCCAGAAGCCAACACGCAGTCGCTCGTCAAACATCGCGCCCAGCTCCTGGCGTGGGGCGGCGGGCCCGGTGCGCAGCCGGGAACAGCCGTCGGGTTCACTTGGCGAGCAGCGCCCGCCCCCGCCGCCCGGCATTTGTGGCCCCCTCCCCCGCCCACGTCATTAGGGTCCCCCGCCCCCCGGCTCCCGCCCCCTCGCCGCCCCCGCCCAGGGTCTTTAAGTTCCCGCGGGTGGCGCCCCGCAGCCCCGCGGGTCACGCTGCAAGGACCCAGCTGCCGGAGCCCCGCCGATCCGAGGATGGAGAGGAGACCGCGGAGCTCCTCCAGGGAGCCCCACCGGAGAAGCGGGGGGTCCCCCCAAAAGGAGAACAAGAGGACAAAGACCGAGAGAGGTGGCGGAGGTCGGGAGCGCCGGGATGCGGGCCGTGACCGTCCAGCCTCAGCGCGGGCGGGGAGCCCCGCGGAGCCCCGAGCCCGGGCAGCCACCGTGGTGGACGTGGATGAGGTGCGGGGCCCGGCAGAGGAGGGCACTGAGGTGGTGGCGCTGCTGGAGAGCGAGCGGCCAGAGGAAGGTACAGTGGGCAGGTCGGGGACCTGCGGGGAGAGAGGCCTTTTCTAGGGTATGAAGGGAGGTCAGAGGAGCTGAAATGAGTCATTGCGCCCCAGAGCCACCGAAGTCAGGGCAGCCTGCTGGACCTGCACAGGTTTCCAGGCAACGAGAGGCAGGAGTTAGTATCCACCAAGCGGTGCTGAGCACCAAAATGCATCTGAAGAAGTACAAATAGCAGCTGTGGGTAGGAGGTGGGAACGTGATGCAGGTTGGGACCACTCATCACTGTAGGGACCATGTGGTTGGGCTTTGTAATCCAGCACCTCATGTGGCTGTGTAGCTGCTGCTTCTTTCCTTATCCACCTGAAAGCACTTCACACTTTCTTTGGAATGATCATTCTTTCTAAAAACTAGAGGCAGCAGTGCCAAGTTGAAAAAAACCCAGACCTGAGTTTAAATCTCAGCTCAGCTTCCTTGCTGGCCATGCCAGGACAGACAGGGCCATCTATCAAACCAGAATAAGGACAGTACCTACTTCAAAGGGTAGCTGTGAGGATGAAAGGAGAGAAGCATCCAAAGTTCTTTGTCCAGAGTCTGGAGGAAAGAACATACTCAGAGAGAGAATCCTTGCAGGCCGAAAGAGAGAGGAAAGCTGGACTAAGGAAGAAAGGAGTCTCTGGATTCTGCAAGTACAGCAACATTCAGGAACAGATTTATTTGCTTCCAAACCTTTTTATAACGAATGCAAGAAAAAAAAAAAAAAGCATTACTCCATAAGTGTGGGGTGAGGGAGGCTTAAAAGAAAACTAATAAGGGAGAGTGAGTTATTCCGCTTTCTGCTGGCTGTGAAATGTTAACATTTCCTGGGGTTCAGCACTGGGGATAGACTGGCTCACTGAAAGCTGTTATTTGTGAGATTCCTGAGGTTGGGACATAGATAATATGAACTTAAAATGCTAATATTTTACCTAATTGATGCCCTTTCATCAGTCAAAAACTTTTGGTCATATAAGGTTTGTTAGGTTCAATTCTACAGTAATGCTCAAGTTAGAAATCTCATAACAATTTGTGACTTGGGCCACCTCCGTAAGGGTCGGGAAAGCAAGGACCGGCTTCTGCTATGTTCCAGGCACACACTAAATGTTCTACTGAATATTATTATTCCCATATCAGAGATGAAGAAAATGCCCAGAAGTTGAGTGGCTTGCCCAAGAACTACAGCTGGGAAGCAGGGTGAGAAGTTCTGTTAAAGATGAGGCTACAGTGCTGAACCCTTGCTCCAGAGGTTTCTGCCATTCCCAGGGGAAACTTAGGTGCAAGAGGCAGCAAAGTCACCTTCTCCTAACTCAGCTCCGCACTCCCACAGCCAGGCCACTTAAGACTTGGGAGGAACAAAAAGGAATTCCACTTTACCAAATGTTGGAAAGTCTCAGATTATGCCATAGTCAAATGTTCTGCCTGTTTTAACGTTTAATGTTCCACTAGTCACTTAAAGCAAACAAATTGGATATTCAAGGAACTCACTCCAAGAGAAGAAAATTCTATGAGTAAAACTTCATGTTAGATTTTTAGGTATAGATACTCGTTTTCTGCTCATAACTCCAACCGTTATTTTTTAAAAAGTTTTATTTATGCATACAAGAACTGGAATACAGGCCAGAGGTGCAGGGAAGTGAGAAGATTCACCAGAGACAGAGTGGGAAACAGAACAGGTGGATTGACTGAAATACACTGCTGAGGGGAGCAGTGGGTGAGACAGGAGAGGTCTGCTGCGCCAGGTGGGCTGCTCCCTGGCTGGCCGGGGATCTAACTTGTGCTGTAGAGGCTGCCGGTAGCTTCTTAACCCCTTGCACCACCAGGGAGGCCCCATATCTCCAACTATCACATGAAGGAATTTTGAGGCCTTTCCTGACATGAAAAATGTAATTTCATCATAAATTAAAAAAATATATATTTATTTTTACTTGCTAAGGTTACTACTACCAAATGAACTGTATCTATAAACTAATTAAACGAGGCACAAACACTGTTCCTGCTCTCAAGATGAACATTGTAAAAATGAATATGTTGATAGAGCAGTATTTCCTAAAGTAGATTGAATGTGAAATAAATTCCATTGAAAACATTGGGAAATATTAGATTAAAAAAAGACAAGATTTTTTGCAGGGATTCTCTAAACTTCAATATGCCAAAAAACACTGAGGAGCTCTAGGAGTCAGATTCAGTACATGGTATTCCCTAAACTTGCTTGCTTTGTGGACCACGCTATGGAACTGTGTTCTGTGGGACAGCCTTTGAGAGCTGCCATATTATGGTATTTAGAGCTGATGTTAGTTTTGCATATCTTGCATATCTACCCTTTTCAAGTAATATGCACATCCATTTTTGTGAGTCTTTCTGGTTATTTTCCAGGCATGGAAGTAAAAATTTCAGTATTAATTAGTTATCCCTCTCTGTCCCATCCCATGAAATTAGGCTTTTCAACATTTCTGATGTTTAGTCATTGTTAGTCCTTTATGGGATTTTTTTTTTTAATTTTATAACTGCAAACTTGTAAATTTGTGAGATTTTAAATCTGATAAATAGTGTCCCCATGGCCAGTTTTCCAGTACCTGGAAACTAAACTTGTTGAGATTACCAGATAATTTCCGTTTCAATCATCCTCACTATCTACTTCTCCTTCCTTTCTTTATTCAACAAATATTTATTGAACACTTATATTGTGTCAAGCACTGTGCCAGGCCCCAAACACCATGTAAACCGAACGGTACCCCAAGCAGCTTGTGTTCTTGAGGTCAGCTTTCCCTGATGCCATTTCATTTATCACCCAAGTAAATAGGGGGTGCATTCTAGTTCCTCATCACTAGTTACTGATCACATGATCACATCAATAATGGACTTATAATACCCCATAAGATGATTTTCAAAGACTGCCTAGGAATCCACACCTTAATGCAAAGGGGCTCTAATGGAGGAATTTTAGACATGGGGGCAGGTAAGATATGGAGAAGTAATTTTAGGGAAGACTAGCCTTCAAATAACACTGGATGCATGAAAAATACAGCTCAGTGTTTTTTATATGTCTATGTCATTTCTTCCTTATGTCAGTGAGAGGAAAAATATTTCATGAGATCACTATGATGATCGGTCTGAGATTTTTTTTTTTAAGATTTATTTATTTATTTATGTATTTATACAAGCACTGGGTACAGTCAGAAGCGTGGGAGGGTAAGAGAATTCACCAGAGCCAGAGGGGAGAGCAGAACAGGCAGACTGGTGAAATACACTGCTGAGGGGAGCAGTGGGTGGCAGGAGAGGTCTGCGCACCATGTGGGACCCTCACCCGGCGGCCGGGGATCCAACCGGCGCTGCAGAAGCTGCGGGCAGCTTCGCAACCCAGCGCTCAACCGCTGCGCCACTGGGGAGGCCCTGAGATGGTTTTTATGAGACAGCATTTCCATTGTATAGATGAGGAAACTGAGGTTCAAAGTGGTCATGCACCTAGCTAAATATTATTTGACAGAGAAGGTAGAGCCAAAACTTGTAACCCAGACCTTCTGCCCAGATCCTGGGCTGTTCCAGTGTACCCCACTCCTGTCTTTCCAGGAGCCTGCTTCCCCTTCTAATAGCTCACACCCCTCCACACAGACAATGCCTTGGGCCTGTGAACTGACCTTGCTGATACCCAGCTCTTCCTAAACTTTCCAGCAAAGTTTACACATTGCTCTGACCTAGTACCAGGGCCTGGACTAATAAGCACTAGTCAGTGAATATTAGTGAAGTTCCATTATAATAATTCTTTTTTTTTTTTTTAGGTACCAAGTCCTCTGGCTTAGGGGCCTGTGAGTGGCTTCTTGTCCTCATATCTCTGCTCTTCATCATTGTGACCTTCCCTTTTTCTATCTGGTTCTGCATAAAGGTGAGATACTTTAAGGCCCAGTTACAGAGTTACTGATGCCTCTCACTGGCCACACAGGCCCCCTCTTACTCCTGTATGTTGGCATGTGTCAGCTGCTCTGCGTGGAACACCCCTCACCCCACTCACCTTCCCGAGAGCACTTGTTCCTCTAAGATCTTGCTCAAGTCTAAGTGTGAAACCTTTCTGACTCCCCACAAACTGTCATTCCCTTCTTGGGCCCACACTCCACATTGCATTAACATCCTTCCTAGCACTTACACAGGTGCAATATTTGTTGATACCTAAAAACATGGCTGAGAGTGCCTTCAGGGTAGGGGCTGTGTAAATGTATCTGCACTTGACAACATAAGGACATGTAGATCGTGCTGTTCATTACTCACAGTTCCTGGGAACTTTTGAGGTACTTCCATAGACTAGAACTGACAGTCATCTTTGGGGCACAGTTTGGGTCTGATAATTAGGGAGATAATTATCAAGAATACATGCCTGTCCCTGAAGTAAATGAAGACCTGTGTCAGGTAGGAAAGCAAATAACAAATCAAATTAGAAGTGCAAAGTATTTATTGGGAGGTATATAAGGCAAGAGAGAGAACACCTGGCAACTATGATATAGACAATAGTGACCTGTGCTATGAGAAGGGGGAGGAAGGATTGGACAGAAAGAGCCTCAGACCATGATACAACTTCAAGAGTCTTTCTTTTTAAAGATTTTATTTATTTATGCATACAAGAACTGGGGTACAGGCCAGAGGTGTGGTGGGGTGAGAGGATTCACCAGAAACAGATTGGGGAGCAGAACAGGCAAACTGACAGAAATACACTGCTGAGGGGAGCAGCGGGTGAGTCAGGAGAGGTCTGCTTCACCAAGTGGGTAGCTCCCTGGCCAGGCCTGGATCAAACTGGTGCTGTAGTGGCTGGCAGTAGCTTGATAGCACTGTCTTTAACCCCTGCGTCACCAGGGAGGCACCAACTTCCAGAGAGTCTTGATCCACCTGAAGGGGACTCCAGAGCAAAGTTTGGCTCCTAAAGGAGTCTCAGGATGGGCGGAAGTGGCCAGGCCCCAGGATCCCTGCCATACTTAGTCATTGGTGGGGCTACCAGGGAAGAGTAAGCCTTCGGCTGGGGCACTATGGATGCTGCTGGGGCTGTTGATGGCTGCTCTTCTCACACAAATTGTTCTCCTCCTCCTTCATGAAAGAATGTTAAATTTTGTCAGATGCTTTTTCTGTACCTATGAGGTGATTATGTGGTATTTGCCCTTTATTCCATTGATACAGGTACTCATTCATCTGGATGTTAAACCAACTGTGTGTTGCTAGCATAAGTCTCAATCAGGGTCTATAACCCTTATTACATGTTACTGGATTTATGTTGCCAGTAGTTTGCTGTGGATTTCTGCCTCTATATTCACTAGAGATACTAGTGTATAGTTTTCTTTTCTTGTGATATCTCTATGTTGTTTTGGTATTAGGGTAATTCATGAATAGGGAAGGTATTTTTTGGGAGAATTTGTGAAAAATAGGAACAAAGGAATAGTATTGATTCCTGTTTAAAATCTGAGAGGATTCACCAGAAAAGGCATCTGGTCCTGAACTTTTCTTTGTGAGAATTTTTTAAACATTAATTTGAATTTTTTTTTACTTTCAGGTCTTTTCATTTTTTCTTTCCTTCTTGAGTTATTTTGATAGTTTGTGTCTCTATATAATTTTATCTAAGTTCTCTAGTTTTTGGCATATTATTTTCTCTTATTTTTTTATTCTGTAAGGACAATAGTGGTCTGCTAGTCTCCACTTTTGAAAATTGGAGTTTTTCACTTCTTACTTAATTAGTCTAGCTAAGGGGCCTCCCTGGTGGCGCAAGAAGTTAAGTCTCAGCACTATGAAGCAATCCCCAACCACTGTAGCTCAAGCAGTCCTCAACTGCTGCAGCACGAGTTCGATTCCTAGGCCAGGGAGCTAACCACATGGCGCAGCAGACCTCTCCTGTTTTGTCCACTGCTCCCCTCAGCAGTGTGATTCAGTCAATCTGCCTGTTCTGCTCCCCACTCTGTCTCTCTGGTGAATCCTCTCACCCTCCCCCTCTGCACCTCTGGCCTACACCCCTGCTCTTGTAAGCATAAATAAATAAATCTTTTAAAAAAATTAGTCTAGCTAAATATTTCTCAGTTTTATTGATTTTTTTAAGAATCAAGTTTTATTTCAATTGAAGTTTTTTATTTTTCTATTTTCATTCTTTTATATAGACTAAAATTTATTTAGTTCCTCCATTTGCTTTCTCTATACATTTTTATATTTACTATTGTAATTATTTCCGCATATACAAATTAGACCAACTAAACTAATGGTATGTAAGCAGAGAACCCAGATATTCACTGAACCAGAAAGTGATATTTATTTTTAAAGTAGTGTGCAGTAATTTTCCTGTCTCCCTTTTAATAAGTGTACTATGACTTCTTTGTTTTAGGGACTGATGACCTTCCCATGTCCAAAAAATGCAAACGTTTTTAGATAATCATGATTCTTTTAATCAAAATTCTGCCCATGGGCTTAAATGTTAATATGGCCAACATACTATTTCAGAGGCCACTGAAATAATGCATTGCCTGCTGGGTGTGCACTGGAAGGCAAATAAGTAATACATGTTGAAAGTCCTAAAAGATACACTTATTAAATGTACATTTTGGAAGCTAAGCATTAACAGAAGTATTTTCTTGTGTTTCAAAACAAAAGATTTCTATAACCTATGGTTACTCTTAAACTAAGTCCTTTTGAAAACTTTTTTTTTCTTTTTTAAAGTGATATAAGAGTATTAAATTTCCCTTTAGGTGGTACAGGAGTATGAGAGAGTAATTATATTCCGACTGGGACACCTGCTTCCTGGAAGAGCCAAAGGTCCTGGTAAGAAGCATCTTTTTGACACCCACCCCACCCTGCCTCCTCAACCCTCACCCTCCAGCCATCGATTTGCCAGTTATTTTCAACCCATGCCAATAGGCAACATGGACCTTAGATTATGTAAAATAGCTCGACTCACGATATTTGCATTTTCCAGTCTGCTACTAGTTTGACTTGTCTCACTTACTATAATATGCACAAATTCTATTCACCTGTCACTTCCCTCCCCCACCTCTTCTAGGCCTTTTCTTCTTTTTGCCCTGCCTGGACACCTACCACAAGGTTGATCTTCGTCTCCAAACCTTGGAAATACCCTTTCATGAGGTAAGGCAAATGATGGAGTTTGCTTTTCCTGTACATTATCAATGACTGAGCCACCAATTCTGGCTCAGGGCACCGGGTCATTTAACTGTTTAAACTCCAAAGTAGAAGAGCAGAGTTATGGACTACATCAAAATCAAAAACTTCCATCTATCAAATGACACAATCAACAGAATGAATAGGCAACCTATGGGAGTGGAGAAAACATTTGCAAATAATATATCTGATAAGGATTAATAGCTAGAATATATAAAGAAATCTTACAACTTAACAAGAAAACAAACAGCTGACAGGGGATAGGAGAGGGTACCCTGAGGGAGAGTGAAGGAAGGGACTACCCCCTAAAAGAGAAAGAACACAATTAAAAATGGGCAAAAGACTTCATGATGGTTAATTTTGTATGTCGGCTCTGTTAAGCCATGACCAGTTATTTGGCCAAACACATTGAGATGTTGCTGTGAAGGTATTTTTTAGGTGAGATTAACAGTTAAATCAATAGACTTTGGGGAAGGATTACCCTCCATAATATGGATGGACTTTCGTTAGTCAATTGAAGGCCTAAGAAAGGACTAACCTCTCCTTCAGGATTAGAAAATTTTGCCCGCAGACAACTCTCAGACCCTAGCTGCAATAGCAGCTATTCCTTGATCTATTGATCTACCCTGAAGATTTTGGACTTTCAGTCTCTGCAGCTGAACAAGCCAGTTCCTTAACATCTCAATTAGATAGATAGATAGATAGATAGATAGATAGATAGATAGATAGATAGATAGATGTTAGATGGATGGATGATGGATATTATGTATGTATAGACACACACACATATTTGATTCTGACTCATACAGACTTGAATTGTCATTTCTCCAAAGATATACAAATGGCCAACAAACACTTGATCAGACACTCTACATCACAAATTAGATTTAGTGAGTGCATTAGAAAAAAATACAAATCAAAACCAATGAGATACCACACCAAATCTATTAGATGGCTACTATAAAGAATAAAAACAGGAAAAATAAGTGTAGAGCAAACATAAAAAATTACAACCCTTGTACACTGTTGGTGGGAATGTAAAAACTGTAAAAAACAGTGTGGGGGTTCCTAAAAAATTAAAAATATATTTACCATTTGATCCAACAATTTCACTTCTGGGTATTACTCCAAAAAATTAAAAGGAAGATTTTGAAGAGATATTTTGTAGGTTTTTGTTCATAGCAGCATTATTCACACAGCCAAAAGGCAGAAGGAACCCAAACGTACATTGATATTTGGATGGATAAACATAATATGGAATATAGCTATAATGGAATCGCATTCAGCCTTAAAAAGGAAGGAAATTCTGACATACACTACAACATGAATGAACCTTGGAAACATCATGCTGAAGGAAATAAACCAGTCACAAAAGGACAGGTACTATATGATTCCACTTAATATGAGGTATCTGGACAAGTCAAATTCAGACAGAAAGTGGTGGTTGCAGAAGCTGAGGAGAGGAGGGAATGAGGAGTTGTTTAATGAGTTTCAGTTCTGTAAGAGAAAGAGAGTTCTCGAAATTGTTTACACAATGACGTTAATGGACTTATGACTACTTAACTCTGTGCTTAAAAATGATTAAGATGGTAAGTTTGACATTAAGTATATTTTACCACAATTAAAAATTAAGAAAAGAGATAACATCTAGATTTTTCTAGCAGTGATTCAGATTTATAAGCTTTTTAAAATTGTCTCCCCAGCTTCCAATTTGAGGTTTTCCCCTTTTCTTTATGGTAATAGAAATTACGTAGAAAATAAGGTTTTTTTCTAGATAAGAAAGTGTAAAAAGAAATAATCCTATTCTAGATAAATGTTAATATTTTTAAATTTTATTTATACATACAAGAACTGGGGTGCAGGCCAGAGGTGTCGGGGGTGAGAGCATTCACCAGGGACAGAGTAGCAGAACAGGCTGATTGACTGAAATACACTGCCGAGGGGAGAAACAGGTGAGTCAGGAGAGGGCTGCTGTGCCATGTTGATCCCCTGGCTGGGGATCAAACTTGTGCTGCAGTGGCTGCGGATAGCTTCATAGGTTGTGTCTTAACCCCTTGCACCACCAGGGAAGCCCAGTGTTAATATTTTGATGAGATCGGGCACTGTAGACTTTGTTGATATTTTGAGGGTATCTATCTTTGCAGACTTTTCAAATCCTACATATGTAAATATGTATTCTCCTATATGTATATTTTGACATATCTTCTTCCACTCAACAATCTAGTGAGACCATCTTAGCTATACTTCTACCTTTTTGTTTTAAATGAGCACATAGGATTTCATTTTATTGATATTTTACTCAACCAATACCTATTGCTAATATAATTTCCAATAATAAAATTGGAAAAATTTTATGATGCTGTAAATAACATTCTATCAGCTACATTCTTAATAACTGTCTAAAAATGGAAATGTTGAGAATGTGTATCTTTTAGGACTTTCAACGTGTCACTTATTTGCCCTCTAGTGTATAACCACCAAACAGTACACTATTAGTCCCCAGGCATCCCAGAATGTGCTTCTCTTTTAGCAGATTTTTGGGCACCACTTTAAGAAGACCTGACATTCAATCAACTGAATGTTTTCATACAAGAAAATTCTCACTGATTTTTTTTGTAAAACGATTCCTTAAAATTCTGAGTTCTTTAGTGTGTTTAATAAAGCAACATAATTTTCAAAAACATGTCTATTTTGAGCAAAGGGTGTAATTACTACTCTTTTTTTTTTTTTTTTTGCTACAAACTTACTCTGAGAAAATGCCCTTTCAACACATTCATCTCCTCTGTCCCCACGTGAGAAAAAAGCCCAGCAGTCAAGCCTTTCCTTCAAACTTTTCTCTGCATAGATTGTGACCAAAGACATGTTCATAATGGAGATAGATGCCATCTGCTACTACCGGATGGAAAATGCCTCTCTCCTCCTCAGCCGTCTTGCTCACGTGTCCAAAACTGTCCAATTCCTCGTGCAAACCACCATGAAGCGTCTCCTGGCACATCGATCCCTCACTGAAATCCTTCTAGAGAGAAAGAGCATTGCTCAAGATGTAAAGGTACTTACAAATTTAACATTGAATATCTTTTATTCACTTCTCCATTGGTCATTTATTGAATCTTGCCTGCTATGATGGGGTTAAGAGGTTACCTCAGCTAATCATGGTCTTAGGTGTGGTTAGTCATTCATTGCCGGTCTTTGCTCTCACCTCTGTTCAGGTGGCTTTAGACTTATTGTAAAAGGCCCTCATATCACAAAGTGGTGGGAGTGTGAGTTGGCAGAGGTGGTAGAGATAGATAGGAGGGCTTGGTGGCATACAAAGGTGGTGAGGAACCAGTTTCAGTCTGATTGGAAAAACAAGCAAAGTTAAATGATGAGGCATGCAAATAAGACTTTCAAATAAAAAAGAGGGTCAGATATCACAGACCCTGTGATTAACTTCCCAATAAATTCTCTAAAATTGATTTGGAATTAGGGGAGAGAGACGAGCACTTTCATCTAGCCTAGAGGCACTGAGCTCAGCACCCTCAGGCATGGTTAGGGTTGGCTTTGATTCTTACCACACATTGCCAGAGGTGTTAAGAAGAGAGATGAGGGCCTCCCTGGTGGCACAAGGGGTTAAGTCTCAGCACTATCAAGCTATCACCAGCCACTGCAGCAGGAGTTCGATCCCTGGCCAGGGAGCTGACCCACATGGCCTAGGAGACCTCTCGTATCTCCTGCTGCTCCCCTCAGCAGTGTATTTCAGTCAATCTGCCTGTTCTGTTCCCCACTCTGTCTCTGGTGAATCCTCTCACACACATGCCCCACACCTCTGGCCTACACCCCAGCTCTCATATGCACAGAGAGGTGAGAACAAAGCAGAATTCCAGGCCGCTGGTCCAGTCAACTGACAGTTATCACCCACAAGGGAACCTGTCCTTAAGGAAATGAATACCTGCAATTGAGCTAGGGAGTTGTGAATCATGCCTGACTGAAAGGAGCACTTCCAATAAAAGGACCTCAAGCATTGATAATGACTGTGCTTGATGGGGCCCAAGCAGACAGTAATCTGAGAAAATTAACTATCCAAATGTTTGTAGCTTGGTCCAGTTTGTTACTGATAAAGTTGGGATCCTGATGGAAAAGAAACAAAATTTGAAAATAAAAGCTGAAAGAAGAAAAAGTTGGAACAAGTAGCACACACAGATCGTGCTGTTCTGGATATAAAAACCACTCCAATGTGTTCATCTTTATCCCCCTTCAGTCTCTTTTCCTTGTTACTCTTTCCCTCTACAGGATAAAGGATAAAGTCCAGACTCTTCATATTCTAGTTATATTGAATTATAATCAATTTTCCCAGATTACATACTCCATAATGGCAGAAGTCATATTTTATTCATCTCTTTGTCCTTAGCACCTGGCCCAAGATCTGTCACACCACAGACAGATAATATTTTTCAGATGAGTGAACAAAAGACCCAATTGTTATAGTCTCACCTCTTGCCTTCCCTCCCCTGGTGTATGTAATACTCCAGCTTCTGTGTTTCTCCAGCATTTAGCACTTTCATGCTTCTTTGCCTCCTCTTAGACTATTTCCTCTGCGTGGAATACAGTTGGCCCTTGAACACACAGGGGTCGGGGGCGCCCAGTCCCTGTGCAAAAATTCCAAGTATAACTTTTGAGTTCCCCAATACTTCACTACTAACAGCCTGCAACGTTGACCAAAAGCCTTACTGACAACAGTCCATTAGCCCAGATTTTATGCTATATTACAGTAAGGTAGCGAGAGAGATGGAAATGTTAAGAAAACTGTAAGTGGATCATCTTAAAGGTCTTCGTCGTGTCATCTTCACATTGACTAGGCTGAGAAGGTAGAGGAAGAGAGGGGATGGAGATATTTGCACGTAAGTGGGCTTGGGTAGAACAAATCCACGCTGTTCGGCGGTCACCTGGACTGCCCTTTTCCCCACAGGCAAAATCATATTTCTACTTTAGGGTACCCCCTCCCCAGGCAGGCCTTGTTCACCGTTCCTTCCTTCTCAGCGTTCTCAGTCCTCCAAGCTTGCTCTTTGTCCAGCTGATGTTGGTTTGGAGAGCTTGGGTCCACAGAGTGGGGTCCTTGGGTTACCTCTGAGAAAAATTTCACCAGAGTTCTCCTTTCAGTGGCACGCGGTGAGTTTCCCCACGAGGGACATTCAGTTCTATTCAGAAGGGCAGGTTTATTATTAAAAGGGAAGTAAATGATGCGTGCACAGACACAAGCAGGCAGAAAGAGCTGCCCTGGATGGGACAAGTTTGTTAAAAGAGAGGCAGTGTGATCACAGGCGGGCATTCTCTAGAAGAGATCTGCTTCTGCTGCTTTGCAAAGGGAGGAGGCCGGTGAAGAGAAGCACCTGCATAGGTACAGGCGGACAGGAGGGCTGCCTCTTAGCAGACAGAAATTGCCCTGATATCGTCTTCTCTGCGGGAGGAGTTCATTCCTTTGTGGGATTGTTAACTGCTGTTAAATTAATTATCAATATTTCCAGGGTTGGTGCCTCAAGGATTTTTTTCTATATTTGGTTTGACTAGGTCAATTTGGAAGCACCAGTGTTTCTTTCACAATGGCCTTCCATCTCCATACCCCCACCTGGTCTGCACCTTAGTCTGTGCCTCCTCTGGATACTTTGCTTTTCTTTGTAGCTTGTTTAGCGGCTGTGATAATCATTTCTGCCCCCACCTCCAACTTCTGGCTTTGTGTGAGCCAGTTTCTGGTCTTGTGATGCCTTCTTCCCAAATTTTCTACTCTTAATCTTCATCATAGCCACTAAGAAATCACAAAAAAAAAAATAATTAAAAAGAGTGTGGACTTCTGCAGAACTTCATGTCCTGTCCCACTTTCCAGGACCCACAGTTCATTTTCCTCCCCTTCATGAGCCCGGAAAGCAGGAGAAACCTGCTAATGACCAGAAAGCAGTGACAGCATCTGGGGATGAAAACCATTTGGGAGAGAGACTAGACACTGGTTCTCTAGAATGTGCATTTGAAAACTAAGTAACAAAGGCACCATCCATATTAGTTTTCTCCTGCTTCTATGCCAAATTACCACAAACTTTGTGACTTAAAGTAACATACTGAAAATTAGTCTTTCAGTTTGTTTTTTTTTTAAAGATTTGTTTATGCATGCAAGAACTGGGGTACCAGTCAGAGGTGTGTGTTGGGGGGAGGGGGAATGAGAGGATTCACCAGAGACAGAGTGGGGAGTAGAACAGGCAGACTGACTGAAATACACTGCTGAGGGGAGCAGCAGGTGAGACAGGAGAGGTCTGCTGCGCCATATGGGTAGCTCCCTGGCTGTGGATAGCTTCACAGTGCTTAACCCTTTGCGCCACCAGGGAGGCCCACATTGGTGAATTTAAATCACAAGAGCAGGTATTTAAAGGGTGGGGAGAGGAAAGGTAATAGAATGGGCTTATTTGAACTAGCCTTCCCAGAGAAGGATGCCTCTTTGATGGGAATGCCTCTGCCATCAAAGCTTCATTCAGACTATTATTGTGCTGCAAAGAAGAAGTCAGTTGTCAAGCTTATCCTACAACAATGCTTTGCAAGTTAACTGTGTGAAGTTAACAAAACAGGGAAATAATATCCTTTCAGAAATATACTGCTAAGGTATGAGGGAGGCTCTCACTGACATCTTAACTTTTCCTCTACAGGTCGCCTTGGATTCAGTGACCTGTATTTGGGGAATCAAAGTGGAGAGAACAGAAATGTGGGTAGGAAATTAACCGGATAGAACACTATAGTAAAGGGAATTACTTTGGTTTCATTTAAAATTTTATATTTGAAAAATTATTTTCTTTGAATAGGTACATTAGCATAAGTTTGGGGGGGGGGAAGAGGAAAAAATTACCTCTCCTAGCCAAAACCCAACCACTATAACATATGGGCAAATTACTTTTAAGCTCTCCCTCTGTGAACTAAAAAAATTTTTTTTGAGATAAAATTCACATAAAACTCCTTTTGATTATCTTCAAGTACAACTCAGTGGTTTTTTAGCATATTCACAGAGTGGTACAACCAGTAATACTACTGTTACAGGGCAGGGTGGGGGTACCCCAGAACCCCCAAACCTGCCTGCTCTAAATGGGTTCTACCATCTACCGCATCAAGAAAAAACATACTCTAGTGTGTAAGACCTTCATTAGAAAATAACTTTAATACAATTAGTGTGTTTTAAAGAGAAGAGAAAGAATAGAATTAAAAGTTTTCACACACAACACCATCCCCTTGAGGGTAAATGCCCCACCAAACAGGGTTGGCCCAAAGCAGGGCCACTAAGGCCCAAAAGCTTGTCTTAAGCCTAAGGCATCTCCTGGTGGTGATATCGGAATTGTCAGGCCTAGTCTTTTAGCCAGGAATGGATCTCAGGCTGCAGGGCAGCACTGAGCCCCGGCCACTAGACCCCCATGGGTTGGTGTCTGACGAAGCCGCAGCAGGGACTTTGTAGACGCTCAGGCAAGCAAGTAAGAAGAGGCAGGTCAGGTTTGTTTAGAAGAAAAAGTTTATTGAGGAGGAAAAGAGCAGAAATAAAGTGGGACTCCCAGGCCAGGGAACCAGGCCTGGGAGGGGCAAGGAAGCCAAAGTGGAGTCGTGTCTTAGGGAATATAGACCTTTTTTCCCTCGTTATTCTAAAGCTGCCCCAGTCTCTTTGTGATTGGTCAGTTCTCGGCTGTCTCACTTAATTTGCTAGAGTGGGGATCTTCATATTCCTTATCTAACAGCTTTCTCTTTCCCCATTTGTTGTATTTTTAAATTTATGGCCCAGTCCTCTGGATGGGCATCCCTGCATTGAAGTTAAACAGCTGCCCTTCTAATGTGACCATAAATTAAACCACTCTCCATTTCTCCAATCTCTGCCTCCCTTTACCACCTGAAGGAAACCAGGACCAGCGTTAACAATGTTGTCCTTGGTCCTGGCATGTTTGTTTTTCCTAATGGAATGGGTTACTTTCCCTTGCTTGTCCTTATCTCTGAAGCCTCCCTAAATTTTTCAGAGGTCTCCTCCTGTACTATCCCTAAAACTGCCTAATAATCTTAGCTTGCCATGTCTCAGTGGGAACCTAGGAAAAGGACAGAAGGGGCCAGACAAGTCTGAAAGGAAAAATACAGAATCAGCTCCCCACAGATCTCTCACCCACATCTGTTTCAAGTGTCTCCTTCCTTGTCCCCAAGTCACTGGTTCAAGTCCAAGACTGAGAAGCAAGCGCAGCTTCTTCACACATCTCTGTGCTCCATGAACCTCCTCCAGGTCTCCTCCTTGCTCTCCTACCTTCCCCAAGTCTTCTCTTTCAGTCTCCTCCTCTCTGTCCAGCTCCACCCTTCCCTGGGGTGGGGCTTACAGTCTCCCCTTTTTCACTTTCCCCCCCACCATATCAATGGTGGCAAAGGTCTCAGGGTGCAGCCTTAGGAGACAATGTTTTCCAGGGTTCCAGTGCATGTAAGAGAAACAACAGTCAGTCATTAGTCATTGTCCATGGATGTCTAGTGTGGCAGAAGTTCTCCATTTCTGGAAAACAGTCCATCAGTCCAAGCCAAAAATAAAAAACAAACACTATCTGGCGGCATCAGCCAAAATAAAATAGCAAACATTATGTTGGAAAATCATAGCAAGAAAAACCTTCAAACTGGCAAGTTTTTCCTGGGGTCCTGGATATGGTTGCCTGTTTAATTTTCTCTAGACATTGCCCTTCCTGCTGTACATGTCTAACACATTCACTAGAAGCAGTGCTGCACACCCACCTGCCACACCTTCTTTTTTTCTTTTTTATTTTTAAAGATTTATTTATTTATGTATACAAAAGCTGGGGTACAGGCCAGAGATGTGGAGGGCAGGTGAGAAGATTCACCAGAGACAGAGTGGGGAACAGAACAGGCAGATTGACTGAAGTACACTGCTGAGGGGAGCAGCGGGCGAGACAGGAGAGGTCTGCAGCACCATGTGGGTAGCTCCCTTCTGGGGATGGAACTAGTGCTGCAGTGGCTTCAAACAGCTTCATTGGTTTTGTCTTAATGCCTTGTACCACCAGGGAGGCCCCCCCACATCTTCTTTCTTTTTCAGTAAGGACGTGAGGTTGCCAGCTGGGCTTCAGCACTCACTGGCTGTGGAAGCCGAAGCACAAAGACAGGCCAAAGTGCGGGTAAGCCAGCACCAAGCAGCCTGTCCTCCTCCTAGGTCTGCTCATTGAGGAGCACCAGAGCATCCAAGGAAGGGACTATGGTGATGGTGCATGGGTGATGGGTGGTGGGAATTTCACGGGAACTATAACCAAGATGAGAAAGCATACATTGTACAAAAATGAAGAATGATGTCAAAAATATATAAAATAAAAAATATAATAAATAAATAATAAATAAATATGGATGCCTGAGTCCCCCCAAAAAGAAGACTGCTCGCGTGAACTCTTCCCCTTTGTTTCCTCACCTCCCATTCATCCCGGAGTGGGGAGAAATCTGACTGAGGCCCACCACTCTGTTAAAATCACTCTTGGAGTATGTGAATGGCCTCCTAACGAATAGCATTTTTCCTGTTCTACTCTTCCTCTGAAGCTACTGGTTCAGGCACGCGCCTCCTCTTTCCTGAGTCTTGCCTTTGTTGTCTCCTCAAGGCATCGTCCAACATTTCATCTCTCTTTCTCTCACGCTGGCATCTTCCCCTGGGCAATATCAGTCCCCTGTCAACTGTAGGTCAACGACACCCAGACCTGCATCCCTAGCTCTGTCCAAGTTCTGGAGGGACAGCCACGATGAGGGCTCAAGTCCCTCAGTGCCAAGAGAAGGCTGTGCTCTCAGCCCTCCACTCAGCTGTGCCCCTGAGAAGCAAAAATGTGACTGCTCACAGCTCCTGAGGACTGAGGTGTAGGTGGGCTGGGGGGTTGGGAAGAGGCTTCTCTTAAAGAATAGAAAGTGGTGTAGAAAAACCCCAGACATGGAAGAAGGTCAATACTGAAGCACTGATGAAAGGCAAAGGGAAGAAAGTGGTCATCTGGGCAGAGGGCTTCTAGATTTCTCTGTGTTTGGTCCTCTTTGTCCACTTTAAGATGACATTGGAGTGGGGAATCTGGTGCTTTTTCTTCTGAAATGTTAACCTCTTCATTTTGGGGAGTCACCCTTCCAGGCTTCCATGCCTTCAGAACGCTGACCAGTCTTTTCTCTCTATGGTGATACCCCACTAATCTTTCAAGGTCCACTAGACAAAATTAATAATTCCCCTATCACTTCATCTCAACCTGTCAGGGTCCTTAAATTCTGTCCTAAAATTTTAATTAATAGCATAATATGTTTCCCTAGATTTTGACCTTGAGCAAGAAGAAAGTGTACTCTGCCCTTAACAGCGCCTGCCCCACAGTGGACACTCATGCTTGCTTGTTGAGTCACACTGGATAATTATTTATGGAACAAAGAAGAAAAATCACTGTGCTTTTCTCTACATCTGTTCTCTAGATGATCGCCGCGGAAGGGGAGAAGGCCGCCTCTGAGTCCCTGAGGATGGCAGCTGAGATTCTATCGGGCACCCCAGCTGCTGTTCAGCTGCGATACCTCCACACCCTTCAATCTTTATCCACAGACAAACCTTCCACTGTGATTTTACCTTTGCCATTTGACTTGCTAAATGTCCTGTCTTCCCCCAGCAACAGAACACAAGGAAGCATCCCCTTACCCAACCCTCCCAGGCCTGTGGAGCCACTGAATCCTAAGAAGAAAGACTCCCCCATGTTATAGGTGGAGCCGAGGACAATGGGGCTGTCAAGGAGCCACATCCCTGAGTGAGCACTTGCTCCTTATCGCCTGCCCTCTCTTTAGTTGCCGTATGGAATCCTGAAGTCACAGTGCAGCAAACTACATAAGAAGACGTTGAGATGAGAGGGCAGAGAAGCCATGTAACAATTTGAGATGGATCATCTATGGGAGTAATTATGGAAAGAGCTTTAGCCAGCATTTTGCTTTGGAAAGAATTTTGAGTCTATGTGTGGCTGAAGTTCGACCTCTGAAGATGTAGTTCAGGGTCCTGTAGGACGACTGTCCTCTGGCCCCTCTGGCAAGGTCTTTGCTGCTCCCAAAGACCTTTTTACCTGCCTCTTTGTTGTGCTTATTATGAGCTACCATAGTCCAGGACTTAGCGTGCAGTCTTCTCCCCAATTATTTTATGACCTCAAAGCACCTCTTAGTCTTTTCCCTGCACAACACTCAATCTTGCACACCCCATCCCATCTCCCTCCACTTAACCCTGATGTTGTACCACAGCGACACTTAAATGTTCTTGAGTGAATGAAAGAAAAAGAGATGTGCTTGGACTGGATATAAAATTTACACCTAATTAAGGGATTTTTGGCACTTTTTTACTATAGAGAAATAACAAAAAGGACCAAAAAATTTTTCTGATAAATATTGGGAAGGTGTGAGGAAGAATCACTATAAATATGAAATTAATACATTTTCAATATCAAATGTACCAGTATGTTTGTTTTTCAAACAGTAATAACATGTTGTGTTCTACACATGCCTGGAACTGTGCTTTTCTTGGGCAGATGTTACCTAATAGGAATACATCCTTATAAGTCTTATTTTCCATTAACTTGCATTATACAATAATAATAAACCCAGGGCCTCCCTTGGTGACCTAAGGGTTACGTCTCAGCACTATCACTACTGAAGCCTGAGTTAAATCCTGGCCAGGGAGCCGACCTACAAATGGCACAGGAGACCTCTCCTATCTTACCCACTGCTCCCCTCAGCAGTGTATTGCAGTAAATCCACCTGTTCTGCTCCCCACTCTGTCTCAGGTGAATCCTCTCAGCCCCTCCCTGCCTGCACCTCTGGCTTACACCCCAGTTCTTCTACTCAAAAATAAAAAAAAAAAAAACAACTCAGCCAAGTAAATAAGAGGTATATAGCAAATCCTCTATCAACTTTAAAAATCAATAGTATTGGGGCCTCCCTGGTGGCCCTGGTGGTTAAAGTTTCAGTGCTATCACCACTATGGCCTCATTTGGATCCTGGTCAGGGAGATAACCCACATGGAGCAGCAGACATCTCCTGTCTGACCCTCTGTTCCCTTTAGCAGTGTATTGGAGTAAATCCAAGTATTCTGCTCCCCACTCTGTCGCTGGTGAATTCTCTCACCCCCCTCTGGCCTACACCCCAGTTCTTTTACACACAAAAAAAATCAATTACATTAAAGACATTACTGACATTACAAAATTATTACTAAAATCATCCTGTGAATGAAATGCTAGTTAAAATAGGAATCCCCACGTATCTAAGTCAGAGAGAAATGATGACAACTATCCCCAGTCCCTCACTATTTGGTGATTTCTGTCCTTCAAATCTCCTCTTCAATCTTCATCATGTTACCTGATATTATTATTTTATTTTGGGGATGTATCCATGCTATCCTGTGATGCAAATTTCATTTTACATAAAAACACATGGATAGGATTTTTGCTTATGAAGGTTAGCCTTTAATAGCTTGCCGATCATTATTTTAGAGAGAAAATGTATTTTCTGAGCCTCTCACAGTGGATCTAGAAACTTTTGTAGTATTCTGTCTGTTTGAAACAAAAAGTTTCTCAATACATTTAAGTAACAGAAACAGGGTCCAAGATCAAGGATGCTTTGCCTATACTGTCCTTTCTCAATCACTTCAATATTCCTTCCTTTTCTGCCATCCTTCTGCCCTCTAAAAAAAGAACAAAAGTTCTCCAGCAGTGTATCATAACATGGTATTATGTTGCCAATCTTAGGGTGTCAAAAGTCTAGTTCATGCCATCCTATGAAACATGTTCCATATCTTAAAGAAAAGTTCCCCTTAGTCCCTATCCCAAGGGAGATATGTGGCTGTGGGGGACTGGCAGTGCTAAAAGTCACAGATTAGATGGTCTCTGCTGGAGGCAATGAGAGATTCTGAAGTCAAAAGAGCAGGCAAAGCTCCAACCATACACAAAATACAAAATGTGGAATCCAGAAGATTGTCCAATCCAAGAAAGTCAAAGGCAGGTAACAAAATCTTCCAGAACCAGGAGTTGGTGCCAGAGAGTGGCCAGCAAACTCTAATGAGGCAACGATAGGATGAGCATTGAGAGGGAACTTCTGAGGGATATCCTAGAATGTCTAATCTATTGGGGTTGCTTTTTGTGAACCAATCAGGGCATGGTCACACATGGCCCAGTCCATTAAAAGGTCAGTGCCAACTAGAGCACACTGAAGTGGGCAGCATTTCTCCTGACCACCATCCCAGTACACTGGCTATTGGGATTAGGATGATATCAAGGTTTGTTGGTCACTTTTCATCCCATATACATGGTTCCTGACCTCAGGTTGGCATACGTTGGCAGGAGTAATGGAGGGGAAGGTAGGGCCATGCTGATGGACGTATAGCAAAGCCAGGAACAAAACAATGAGTGAATGCCAGGATGATAATGTAGTAATGGCTTTTATGGCCCTTAATAATTCCACATCACTCTGTTCTTGTCAAAAGCAGGTTTTGCCTGCATTATCTGCCTATGTTTCTCCTTCTGGTGGTCTCTTCTGATATCTGGCTCTAGTCAACATAGAACTTTCTTGTTAGACTGCCAGAAGGCATCTTTGAGGTCTGTTTGAGTGCCCTCTGGTGTCCTTGGGTTATGGGACAATTGGGATGTGGAATCTTGGTGGCAGAGAAATAACGGGGACAAGGTGCTCTGAAACTGTTATGGGTGGAAGGTTATAGTGAACCTCTCTGATGGTGCTGTCTGCAAGGTTTCAGCACCAGAATTCTCTGAAACCTGGATGCTGCATTCCCCTGGGTACTGATCTTGAAATGACAGGTGGAAGATAAGCTGGACAGTACAATCAAAGCTAGGACACATACTAGGCAACAATCTTTTCCCTGCAAAGTGATTTTAATATTAATAGTGACAGTGTCTTAGTTCGAGCTGTTATAACAAAATGCCATAGACAGAGTGGTTTTTAAACAATAGAAATTTATTTCATACAGTTCTAGAGGCTAGAAAGTTTCAGTTCAAGATGTCAGCAGAATTAGCATCTGGTGAGGACCCTCTTCTGGTTCATAGACAGATGTCTCCCCACTTTTCTCCCTCTGTGTGCTGACACCTGGCATAAGTGGGAGGGAATTCTCTGGGGTCTCTTTTTATTTTATTTTATTTTCATGATAAAGATTGCTTTATTAGCAGCAGTACAAGTCAATAAGTATTGATCCCCAAAGAACTCTGATTATTTATCAGATCACTGAACTCGCTGACTGAAGTCAATTCTGCTTCTTGGGAAATGAAGCCATAGCCAGCTGATATCGAACTTAGCAGATTTGATCCAGACTCTGCCAATCATTAATCTTGCACAGGATGTGAGAGGCCCTGAGAGGCCAGAGTTCCCTCCTCAGTGCTGAACTCCATAAGAAAACGTCTCAGCCAGGACTGAGCCTCCACCGCATCACACTCAGCCTTCCAAGCCTGCTGGAAATGGAGCTTAGCTTCTCACTGTGGGAGCAAATTAAAACCCTTGGGGCTGACATGCTGATGCCTTCAGGATTTAGGAGTCTTCCCCTGGTGAGAAAGTGCAGTTCTCTGAAGGCAGGGTGGAAGGGCGCGGCCCCTGTTGGTGGTGATCTCGCGTCCCCTGCTGGCCGTCCTGGGGGTTTCTCCGCTCTCAAAGCCACGTCATTCAGCAGGTGGCGCTGTTGGTGGGAGGTGGGGCGGTCCCAGCCGTCAAACCGGTTCTCTACCTGGGACGTCTTGAGGACAGGACCAGGCAAACAAAGAAATCTTATTTTTTGACAGTTGAATAAAACAGAATTGATTAATTAATTTGCATAATTTTAGCATTTAAGCACAGTCTCAGATGCAACTGTACATATGCTAAACAACAGATAATCGTGCTTCCTTAGCAAAATATTTGGGTTGAATATAAAATTCACAGCCTTTCCACTTTTTTTCAAATAAACAATTCAAATTCAGTGTATACCATGTTCACCATCTTGAACATGAGAGCTTAGTTTTAAACACTCTAATAATGAATGTGCTTGTGACATAACAGGGTCAGAAGGCAAACCTTGAGGGAGCTACACACCGATTGTAACTAATCCCTGTAATCCTAGGCTGATGTTTTCAATGAACTATGCTTTAAAGATAAGCAGATGAATGAGATAATATCCACCAGTCCTAAAAGTAACCAATTTTTTTTTTCAAATAATGATTGCATCTCTTCACAACCACAAAAAAAGAGAGAAGTTTCTGCTTTGAAGTAAGAGAAGGCTGTGATGTTTAAAACTGCCCATCTACCACATGGTATCCCTAGATTGGCAGGAAGTTTGAGGCTAGTAACCCAATACTGCACATGCTTAGTACCAGAGAGAGCAGTACTGCCTCTCAGATAATTATAGTTGTGGGTTTCAACCTGTCTGTAGGCGCTCAAGAACAAGCAGAAAGGCTTCCTTTGTTATGTCTGGCTTGGAGTATTCTCAAGGCTGAGTTCACTATCCAGGCAGCTTTTGCCAAAAGCATTTAAAGTCATAGGTGCTGACTTCTATTTACAATAGCTAAGCTTTGGAAACAGCCCAGATGCCTAAAAATAGATGACTGGATCAAGAAGATGTGGTACATATATACCATGGAATATTACTCAGCATTCAAAAAAGATAAACACATGCAATTTGCAGCAACATGGATGGCGCTGGAAGGGATCATGCTCAGCGAAATAAGCCAGAAAGAAAAAGAAAAATACCGGATGGTCTCACTCATAGCAGGAATCTAGAAAACTTAAATAAGGGACCAGGAAAATGAATAACTGTAAGAAAGTGAAAATCAAAATCAACAAAAAACTATGAACCAGAGACACTTTTGGGGGGGTGGGGGGCAGGAGGGGAGGGACTGGGGTCAGAATGGGGGGGCTGAAATTGTATGGGGAATATAAAAATAAAATTTATTATTAATTAAAAAAAAATAAAGTCATAGGTGCTGACATCATACCTAGGCAATTTAAGGCTAGGGGGTTGAGGTCCAGTCTTCAGTGGGTCAGTACAGCAACAAACGTCTATCTGTAGCACGGCTGTATGTGTGTGGAATTAAGTTCATACCATTTCTAGGAAGCTCAAGAAAAATGTGACCCATAATTGTGTAGAAATAGCTGGTACAAATGTTCCATGAAAACATGATGAATCAGGGCCTCTCCGGTGGCGCAGCGGTTGAGCGCTGGGTTGCGAAGCTGCCCGCAGCCTCTGCAGCACCGGTTCGTTCCCCGGCTGCTCCCCGGCCACCGGAGGAGGGTCCCACATGGCGCACAGACCTTTCCTGTCGCCCGCTGCTCCCCTCAGCAGTGTACTTCGGTCCTTCTGCCTGCTCTGCTCCCCGCTCTGGCTCTGGTGAATTCTCTCACACTCCCATGCTTCTGACTGTGCCCAGTGCTTGTATAAATAAATAAATAAATAAATAAATAAATAAATAAATAAATAAATAAATAAATAAATAAATAAATAAATCTTAAAAAAAAAAAGAAAACATGATGAATCAGGGGCCTCCCTGATGGCGCAGGGGGTTGAGATGCAACCTATGGAGCTGTCTGCAGCCACTCCAGCATGAGCTCGATTCCCTGGCTGGCCAGGGAGCAGTTGCCCACATGGCGCAGAAGACCTCTCCTGACTCGCCCGCTGCTCCCCTCAGCAGTATACTTCGGTCAATCTGCCTGTTCTGTTCCCCACTCTGTCTCTGGTGAATCCTCTCATACCCCACACCTCTGGCCTAATCTCCGGCTCTTGTATGCATAAATAAATCTTAAAAAAAAAAAAAAAAGAAAACATGACGAATCAAAGTCTGTGTGTTCGCTCATTCATGCATTCACTCATTGACCAAAACGTTCTAGACCTTGTTTTGATTCTGGGAAGTACATGGCACATGGCAAAATGTCCCTACCCAAAGAGGTCCATCCTAGTGAAGGGAAGCATGAAAAAAAGATAAAGAAACTGAAAACAAAGAAACAACCAAACAAAAAAATATATAGACTGTGATATTAAAGCTAAAGGAAATGTGAAGTGTAATGAAGGCAATTAGTTAGCTATTAAAATTGGGAATATCCAGAGAACCAAATTGTGCTGAGACATTGGGGGATTAGGAAATTTTCTCAGAGTCAAGAAAAAATTATTTCAAAATTGTAGCTTTTCCAATGATCTGAAACTTTGAAATTTCTTGGTTATTAGTTTGTGAGCTATGAAAATTTTAATAAATTCTGGTGGAGTGGAAGCTTTAAATTAGTCTTAAACTCTTCTCCTGATTCACCACCATAGAAATGCTGCTGCCCTTCGGAGTTCTCGGTTCCTGTCTGCATTCTCTCTCAAGCCATCACCTGCACCACAGGATTAAAATCACCAGTGTCTCATCTGCTGCCTTGACTGCACTGGAACTTCTGTTTTCATTTCTAGTGCCTGTGCTTTCTATATGTCTGCACCCATTACCAACCTGACTTGGCTAATACATGAACTATCTCCCCATAGAAAGCTACACCCTGATGAGAAAATCACTTATCTACTTACCCTCTCAATACACAGCCTTGTGCAGATGCATCAAATCAGTGAATATGTTGGTCCCTGAGTCCCAGAATATTTGGGAAGGATACTGGAGATAAGAGTCATGGACAGGAACTGATTAGGCAAGAAGATCAGAAGATCCAGGTCATGGGAATGGTGGAGAGAGAGAGAGAGAGAGAGAGAACGCACGCACACGCGAGAGAGCTGTGTATCCTCCATAAACAATAATTTCTCATTTCCAAAGAGAATCCTATCCATGGTTACATAGCCCACTACCAGATGCCACCCTTTCTAGGGATTGACAGGCAAAGCTCAGACAGGAGGAGGGCGCCAGGAGAAGCCAGACTTCACATAAATTTCCAGGATATATTCATTCAAACTCCCCATCACCAAGTGGGAAGACCCCAGGTCAGTCCACAAGGTCAAGTAGTGTTCTGTGCAGAATAGGGGACTCTGCCTCCTTCTGAGGACAAAACAGTAAGTTTCTTGCCTTTGAGTTGCAGATGAGGAAATGGCTCTGCTCCCTCTGTAGTGGATGCCCATCTGGTCTTCTTTACTCCCACGGCCCAATCATGTTCTAAATCATGAATTGGTGCTTTCCTTTTTTTACCATACCTTACTTCATCACCTGGAAGAAGAAGGTGCAGCCACTTTCTTGTGACCAAGCCCCAACCTCTTTTCCCTCAGCCTAACACCAAGCCACTGCCGCTCAAAATAAGCTCTGCCTCTGGAGAACTGGCAGACGTCACCGGGAGAAGACAGGGTGATGTTGCTGGGGTGGGTCATGGGTTACGTGGGTCATGTTACTGTGTCTGACCAAATCATCACCACCACACACAGGGGAGCGATGGCGCCTCACTGTGGTCTGGAGGTGCATGTCTCTAATACGTGATGATGAGCATATTTTCATGCGGTACTTTGACTTTGCCAGATTGGACTGTTATAGCTGGCTTTTTGACACTGTAATGAGATTCCAATTTCTGCAAAGTTTTTTGGGCTAGTTTCAGCATCTAATCATCATTTAAAAGTTTTAAACATGGAAATATATTTTGGAAGGGCAAGAAAACACTTCTTTACATGGTATCCATTTTGGATTCTGCCTGGATTTTACTGAGCTGTAATTCCTGAAGAGCAGACTCAGGGCTGGAAAAGAATGTTTCTTGAAATTATCAGTCATTTCTATTGTTTGTGCTTTTTCTTTTTTTTTTAAAAAGATTTATTTTATTTTATTTTATTTTTTTTTATATATAGAGGCATGTTTTATTTATTTATTTGTTTGTTTATACATGCACTGGGTACAGTCAGAAGCACAGGAGGGTGAGAGAATTCACCAGAGCCAGAGCGGGGAACAGAACAGGCAGAAGGACAGAAGTACACTGCTGAGGGGAGCAGCGGGCGGCAGGAGAGGTCTGCGCGCCATGTGGGACCCTCCTCCGGTGGCCAAGGAGCAGCCGGGGATCGAACCGGCGCCGCAGAGACCGCGGGCAGCTTCGCAACCCAGCGTTCAACCACTGCGCCACTGGGGAGGCCCTAAAAAGATTTATTTTTTATTTATACAATAGCTGGGGTACAGGCCAGAGGTGCGGGAGGGTGAGAGGATTCACCAGAGACA